ACGAATGATTATTTTTGGTATTTTCTCAATTTAAATTCGGAATAATAAAAATGCCTAAATTAACATGCAAACTATGATGACTTAATCTACCCTAGCATGATTTCTTTTTAGGATTTTTGTTAAAATTCGAAATAATGAATAACCTAAATAATCTATTAAGATTAGAATATTACTTAATTTAAACTAGGAAATAGATCATCTCAAGTCCTAATTTAAATTAAATAACTACTCTATCTTCTAGATACATTTAGGATTCCTAGACATGCAAAAACTCTAATTCAAATCTAATTAATATTTTTTTGAATTTTCTGTTTATTTGAAAAAGGAAAGCAATTGAATAAACAAGGATAGCAACCACATTCAAAACGTCCACGCGATCCGCCATATTTGTTTCAAACTCGGATTAGGCACAAAAATCAAACTATCGGTCATATCTATAGGGTTATAGATATCGACGGAAAGCCGATTATTCAAATTTGGAAAGCGGATAAAAATCGTTATCGTACCCAAGTGGTTATGGATAGGATAATAATTTTCCGTATCGCCGCGTATCGAACCTTAGGGATAAGGTCGGATAGTCGTCCAGATACGTTGCTAAATTAGGCAAAATTCCTAATTTTAAGTGTTTTCGAATATTGCGGATACCACAAAATTATCCTAAGATATCTAGCTATCCACGCAATATTCACGAAATATTCAAATATCCGAAAATTAAGAAACCAAATATTCTGGAAATATTGGATAACATTCTTACCTAATTTCGGGATATTTCCAAATTTGAACTCGCGAATCGGGATTGCGGATCGGGATGACCGACAATGGATCACAAGCAGCTCGTCTCGATGGTGGTTCACAGTCAAAGCTGGCCCGCAATGTGGACGCTCACGATGAGGGATGCTCACGGGAATCTCAGCACAGTTAGGCGCGGGGCTGCTACTTCCTGGCTTCGTCGTCTGAGGGAATTACAATAACTGGCAAGGAAATTTATGGGACTTCCCAGCAAGACCAAAGAAACCTGCAGACAACTCAAATTGGATCCAACGAATTCTGTTGACTTCGTTGGACCCACTGAGCAAGGAAGCAAGGCTAAGTAAACGTCAGAGGCATGATGGTGGCAGCCAAGATTCACTTTCGGGAAGGGTTGATGCTTTCCGAGAATTGCTAAGCTGATGGCCGCCTGGAACTCTTGGTCTAAGATTGGACTGGATCGTCAGACTTCGCTCGGAGGGACGTCTGGAACAGCAGCAAACGTCACGGCGGGGGCAAGCGATCAATGGCAGCAGACGCGGTGTAAGTCTGAGCACGGCAAGAGAGCGTCACAGGCAAAGAGCAGCGAGCAGGGCACGAGTGGCTCGAGTTGCAGGTTGAAGCGCCAAGCGAAACGCCAAGGAAGGAACAGCTTCTTCTCTCCTTTCTTCTTAATGATATCTCTCTATGTTTCTCGTGTGTGGTCAGACCAAAAAGAGTCCCCTAAAATCCTGACCTAATGATGTATATATAACACTAATCTAGGTCAATTAGATAGGCTCTTTAGTCCTAATGGGCTTAGGCTTGGGCTTAGGTTTAATTTAATTTAAATAGGCTGATTTAACTTGGGCTTTTATTTAATTAAGCATAATGGGCTGAATTAAACTCAAATTAAAATAACCGAGCCCGTTTGACTTGTAATTCCCGGCCCTTGCCTTCCGAGCGAGCCGAGTCTCGTTCGATGAAATTTTAAGCTCATTCGCCACTGCCAATCTGATGCAAAAAATGCAATTAAATTAAATGGACCTAAACTATATGTTTATGCAATTTAAATATTTTTGTTTATGGGTTAAAAATTTAATCCCTAATTTTCTATACAAATTACGACTAAATGATCGCTAAAATTTAGGTGTCAACAATCATCAAGCCCATCATGTGCGAGTGGGAGATGTTATATTTCGTCGGTCCGCCCATGATGTGTGTGTCCAAGGGACACCATTTGCTCTAATAAGAGGTGCGTCTGAGAGACACCTTTTGAAGAGGTGCGTCTGAGAGACACCTTTTGAAGAGGTGCGAGGAGAGTTTCTTAATGGAAGTTAAGATAACTTCTTCGGGAAATGAACAACATACAAGAGAAATTCAGAACTCTGTCTCTCTCTCGACACATTAGGATTCCGTATCTACTTTGAGAAGACAATCGGCATTAACGCTGTGGAACAAGAATACTTTCCTTGTGATTGTATTCGCACCAACGTGTAGTAGATTCGTTCATCATTTGCTGGTGATTTAACGTACGATCCTGGAAATTGTGTTTGGAGTGCATCGAACAGGTTAGTCGATTCTCCCGACACTCGCTTCCAACAATATATGAACCCGACACGGGCCGTAAAATATCTTTGCAATGTTCAATTGTGATGGGGGAAAAAAAGCCTCTCAAAAACTATGGATACGATGTTCTTGTAATCTTTCCATTTCTGTCATTGCAAGATGACCGAAGTGGATTCTGAGTGATTACATTGTCTTGAAATGACTATTGCTAATGACATTTGCTGGGAGAATGTAAGTTGACCGGACCAGTCTCTGTTGCAGAGGTGGACTTCTAGTTCTGGACGATAGGACTAGATTTGTGAACTATTTTTTGTAATAATAAAAAAAAGATGACCCAATTAGCTAGACTACGAGACTATTTGGCACAATTTTCCTGCCGTATTTTTAACCGTGAAAATGAGTACCGCGACTTTTATAAAGTGTTTGGCAAATACCATGCAGTCGCAACACCTCCAAAATTGCAGAAGGTTACATCAATTTTTAGGGAAGTTGCCCCACCTAGTTTTAAAATATGGGTACTGAGAATATATTCAAGTCGTCACGGCTAAACCAAATGAGTTTGTATGGGATGTGGGCAGGCATGAGTGCTTGCAATTGTCGAGCACAAATGACTAAGAATTTCTAGGAAAATTGTTGTGCGGAGAGTTGGACAAATTCAACAGAAAATAGGTATTGAATGAGAAATATCCCCCGATAAGTTGATTCTCGTTCCTTCCTTCCTTGACCCTCCCCCCCCCAGGATTAGAAAATAGGTATTGTTGTTGGCCTTGCCTGAGCTCGGGCCTCGCCAGATCCGACGAGCTGGGTGAGGCTCAAGCCTCTCCCAAGGTCGCTAGACGTCGGCGAGGCTCTGGCGACCTCGGGCGAGGCTCTGGCGATCTCGAGCCTCACCCAGCTCGCTAGATCTGGCAAGGCCCAAGCTCGCCCGACCGTCCTTGGGCGAGCTCGCCCGTGCCGGATTAGGCGAGCCGGAGCCTCGTCACAGGCCGGCGAGGCTTGACCTTGCCGGAATCTGGCGAGCTCGAGCTGGCCGGTCGCCTACCACGGAAAATTGAAAAAGGAAAACAAAAAGAAAAAAAGAAAAAAGAAAAAGAAAAATATTTTTAATGACTTTCGGGAAAATTTAAAAATATTTTCCAAAACTTTTTCAGATTTCAGCCGAATACTGAAAAATTGTGTCATTTTCCAGGAAAATGACTTCCGGAAAAACATTTTCCACGAACGTAACATTTTTCGCGAAACAATCGGAGCCTTAATGAGCTTGGTAATCCAAATTCATGGTGGTCATAAGTTCATTTTTCTCCCACCGCTTGGGTCACCCCAAGTTCGGGGTGAAACGATAGTTGTTAGCGGGGAAAATTACCAAAAAAGTCCTAAACCTTTTGCAATTGTGCTAATTCAGTCTTATACCTTTTTTTTTTTGCCATTTCAGTCCTAAACCTTTTACAATTGTGCCAATTCAGTCCATCCGGCCACTTTTGGCCGGCCGGAGCTGACGTGGACGCCGGTCGGCGCCGGCGGCTGACGTGGCATTATTTAAATATTTTCCCCCCTTTTTTTTTTCCTTCTTCCCCCTGGCTGGACGGACTAGGGGGAGGCTTGCCGGCGAGGTCACCTCGCCGGCCATGGCGAGGTAGACCTCGCCGGCCATGGGCGAGGCCGACCTCGCCCAGCCATGGCGAGGTCGAGCTCGCCAGCCATGGGTGACGGCGAGGCCTCGCCCAAATCTGGCGAGACCCTGCCGTCGCTGGGCGAGCTCGACCTCGCCCGGCCATGGCGAGGCCGAGCTCGCCGGCCATGGGTGAGGCCGAGCTCGCCGGCGACGGCGAGGCCTCGCCCGGACTCGGCGAGACCTCGCCGTCGCCTCGGTGAGGTCGAGCTCGCCGTGTGACGGCGAGGTCTCGCCAGATCCGGGCGAGGCCTCGCCGTCGCCGGGCGAGCTCGGCCTCGCCCATGGCTGGCGAGCTCGACCTCGCCATGGCCGGGCGAGGTCTCGCCAGATCTGGGCGAGGCCTCGCCGTTGCCCATTGCCGGCGAGGTTGACCTCGCCATGGCCGGGTGAGATCGACCTCGCTCATGGCCGGCGAGGTCGGCCTCGCCATGGCCGGCGAGGTGACCTCGCCGGCGAGCCTCCCCCTGGCCGGACCGGCCAGGGGGAAGAAGGAAAAAAAAAAAGGAAAAAAAATATTAAAATAATGCCATGTTAGCCGGCCGGCCAAAAGTGGCCGGATGGACTGAATTGGTACAATTGTAAAAGGTTTAAGAATGAAATGGCAAAAAAAAAGGTTTAGGACTGAATTGGCACAATTGCAAAAGGTTTAGGACTTTTTTGGTAATTTTCCCGTTGTTAGCGTATACGTGGATCATTATCAGATTCATTGTTGACGTAAAAAAAAACGATTTATATGATCGTAAATCATGATTATTATTTTTGGATGGATGATATGTGTATTTAAATAGTGCAACCATATTCTTTGTCACTCATCGAACCGCGACCCACTTAGTGTACATCGTCTATATAAAATGGCAATCCTTCACTACACGTCGAAAAATTGCGGTTTTCCTAAATTTTATCCAAAGGAAACCGACTGTGCAAGCGCATGAACAGTATCTTTCACATTTAAATCCCAGTTTAATCCTGATGCTAATGTGACAGAGAAAGAGACCAAGTAATTGTACCTGACAAAAGCAGCTGGGTCTTGAAATAGAAACCAAAATAACCAATAAATTATGATAAGAGACACTAGTACATCAATCAGTATTAATTAAATCACGCTTTCAACAGTGGAGAAACAAAAAGCAAATGATTCAAGAAAAAGAAGGTGCATATCGAATCGAACATTGGTACAAGAATCATACGTAATGAGCGAGAGAGACGGAGAGATCGACGAAGACTCCGAAGAGGAGGATGAAGACGGCGGTGAAATTGAGGAAGCGCGCTTCTCTCTCGTGCTCGAGTTTTAAGAAAGTAGCCTTCTGCATCAACCCGGTCAAGGCCGAGCATACCGCCATGAACAGGACGACTCTCCCTCCAGTTATGTGCCACGGCATAATTCTCTTTTTGGTCGACGTCGATGCGCCTCTGATCATGTAGGTGAAGAAACCAAATAGCCACTGTACATACAAATAGAGTCATGTTCGCATATCGTGTTAATAACAGTGACATTAGGCCGCGAGGCGCGGATATATAGTCTCCTGCAGGAGTTTGTGATACTGTGTGAATTATCGGGGTGTGTAACCGATCGCTCACCTGACATCCGAACAAGGAGATGGTGCCGATGCCGATCCATGAGTGGAGGCTGTTCATGTCCTCGACTTGCTGCATGTTGTGGTACTTGAAAACCGCGCAAATGCCTACGACTCCGAGGGCAAACGCGATGAGATGGAGCAACATGTGCATGAACTTCTGAACATCCCTCGTCGCGAATATTGTCTTGTACGCCATCATCGCTGCTTTCACGGAGCCCCGCAAAAAGAATCAAATGAAAACGGGAACTTGAGTTTCGTAGATTGCAGCAAGCGATTTCGCTTTTCGTAGGTATTTATGAACCGACACGGGTCGTAGAAAAATCTTTGAAATGTTCAATTGTGATGGGAAAAAGACCTCTCGAAAACTATGGATACGATGTTCTTGTAATCTTTCCATTTCTGTCATTAAAAGATGACCGAAGTGGACTCTTGAGTGATTACATTGTCTTGAAATGACTATTGCTAATGACATTTGCTAGAAGAATAGTAATGCTTAAGAAGTGCACGCACTTGCATTGCAAAACCAAAGACCAAATACTGGAAAATGCATTCTGTTTTTGTTCTTGTCAGTATGACTAACCGATAAGCGCAAATTAGAGCCCCTATAATCTAGGAAATGCATTGACATCACAAAAAACGTTGTACCTTCACCGCTGAAGAAAATAAACCCAAATACCATAAGGAATGGGTGAACCTGCCACAAGAAAAAAATAAAGAACAAAAGACTTTACAATTGTCGAATGCAAATTATAATAACAAGATCCCCAAGAATTAATTCATACATTGAAAACTCGGAACGCATCGCCGGAATAATAATCTATGCCCTCGCGATAGTGGAGCAACCAGACGAGCAAGAGAACGATGGAGACGACCCCACAGAAGTGTGCCACCACTGTTAAGCGAGAGGCCGAATCATAGTACTGAGGTCTGTCTGTGTACATCGCGGAACGTGATAAGCTAAAGACTCGGGAAGTTTTCGGCTCCTGTTGTTTGCAATCTCCCCCCTTTGTTTTCTTTTTTCACTGACGGATATTGGTATGATGTAATGCGCATGACTTCTTTATAGCAATATGAAGGAGGAAGAAGCTTGATCTTGGTTTTGCTTTGTTATGGGGATTGGTATACAATCGTGGGAAACTTTCGGCTTTGGTAAAGCACCCAAATGGGAACAAAAAGCTCTGTATCCGAATCAACAAAAACTAGTATAGTACTTCTCAGTTAGTACTATGTTTCGATGCCACAAGAAAGAACCAGATCCTCCAGTTCACTTCACGTCATCTTTTTGTTTCTCTGTCTTCTTTACGTGCCTGAACTGAGCCCACACTTAGCTTCCCGACTGTGCTTCGTTCCTTTGTGATTTAACAGAAGGGAAATGCACCTTCTGATCAATGAGGCACACATGATCAGTCCGATATCGAAATTAGACTAGCACCCTATTAGGTTCTGCTTCCTGAAATCATTAGGATAGGGTAAGCTCGGGTTTGGTTTCGGTTTAATTTATCGAGAAGCGTACGAACTTAGCTGCAGTTGACGGGTGTTGCGGTTTCGATCATTTGCCTGAAACTGATATAGCGTGAAAACTAAACATACTTGATGTAACTGTCAGCTCTCTCAATTTATGTTGAAGAAAGGCGGCAGCCATGATGAACTCGTGTTTGGACAGGGGTTCCGGGTGAGAAAGGCACGGCGGAATCAAGTTCTAATGTGCTAGATATTGGGCCTGGTATCAGCTTCAAACCTCCTCATTTCTAGTTAGGCTAATTGACCCAAGAACTTGAGGACCTGAACTGACACAGGTCATTGCTTGTGGCTTGTGGGTCTTGTTGATCGAGTGGGCTCTCTGTACTGTTGCGTGTGCCACCACAGAGGTTTCGAAGTCAAAATTCACAAGTTTTGACAGAAAATGCCCTTTAGGCATCTCTTACATATTTAGGGGAAGTTCCAGTTGATCAAGATAACCCTATAATTGATTTTGATTCAAAAGACTCCATGCACTTGACAAACGTGAACCAATTACCCCTATCGTTCTCAAAAGACTCCGCTTCATCTTCTTGGGAGGGGGAGAGAGAGAGAGAGATGAACAACGTGACGACGGCGGTGATGGTGGCAATGAGCGAGCGATTGTCATCAGTGAGGCGTGCCAACCGTGCTAACCCATTTGGTCATCAGTAGAGAGGAAAGAGAGAGATTTGGAAATTAAGGTACTAGGCATGCAGTGTTTTAAATGAGTGCGGTCAGAACAAGATGTCTTACAAGCCAGTTTTCACGGACAGGATGTCTTGCAATCCATGCATTGTAAGACGCCCCGTTCGCGGCATCTGCGAACCCATTTAGTCATCAAATAGATAGGAAAGGAGCTGCTTCTTTAGCTTCTAGAAAGTGGTTTTCCAAAAGAGTTTCCTATTGGAATGGAAAGATTGTAATTGCTCATCCCACCGTCCTCTATCACACACCCGCTTTGCATATATGCAAATCGACCGGGGCAGTAACACGACCCGGTGAAATTGTTTCAGATGTAAATAAATATTGAGTTCATTTTTTCCATGTATTCGAGTAATGAATATTCATGTATAAGACATGGACGAAAATGGTAGCAAGATTAAACACACATATAAAATGTAACTGCAAAAACTTCATTTTATCATCTTTGCGAAATAAGATTTAGCGCGATAATCGTGTCTTATATAATAGGTTATAACTGAAGGATTCTAATCATGCATTGAAGTACAAAATTCAAGCACAATTAGAATCAAATGCAGAAAATAAGATCGAAAATAAACTGACCTCTAATCATTGTTCGAGTTTACGTTCGTTGGAAATCCACGGTAGTTTGACGTTAATTCGACAGCGATTATGGGCGCACTCTACTAACCCAATCCCCTCGTGTACTGACGTTGTATTACAGAATGAGAGGGTTTGCGTTAGACCTTGTGTTTACCCTCACGGAATGAATGTTCGTCTTTATAAATCGCTTCCCATTAAGGCAGTTATTGAAGAGGGCGGTTGTCATCGAAGGGGTACAAAACGTGAAAAAAACCGTATGTGAATAACCATCACTTAAAAGAAAAAATGTGGGTCATAACCCAACGGATAAGTTTTATTTCAAAAACTATATCCCTAAATGTGGGATCACATTATAAATATAACATTATAATCTATTTAACGTACCTCACATCTTTCTTAATGTGAATGACCTCAACTAGTATCATTACTCACAACTAAAGGAATTAACCTAAGTGAATAGAGGAGACCACAACTTTTTACGCACGGAAGACATTTTCGAATAGAAGAAAGTGGTTTTAACAAAAAAAAACTTCTGTTTTTGGTCGACAGTGGATATTACAATTTTAGGATGCAACAAGTTGAATATCTATATCAAATTAAAAAGGTTGGGTTAATACCATGAAAAACCCTAAATCAATATATTTGTGATAAATTTACCCTGAACTAATTTTTTGACCATCAAAAACCTCAAACTTGTACACTTATGACAAATTTACCCTCCGATAAATTGGATTAATATCACGAAAAATCACAAATTAGTAAATCTGTGATAAATGGAGGGCAAATTGGTACACATGTCAACTTTCACGTGTCATCCAATTCAGTAATTTGACAGTAAAATTTAACGAAAACTAACAGAGGATATATTTATTATTGATGTACCAGTTTAGGGGTTTTTGGTAGTCAAAAAATTAATTTTTAGTAAAGTTCTTACATGTGCACCAATTTAGGATTTTTCGTAATATTAACCTAAAAGGATTTGCATAGCGGACAAAAGAAAGGCCGCAAGAGATGGCTGGGAAAATTACCAAAATAGTTCTAAACCTATTGCAATTGTGCTAATTTAATCCTAAATTTTTTTTTGTGCAAATTCAGTCCTAAACCTTTTACATTTGTGCCAATTCAGTCCATCCGGCTACTTTTGGCTGGCTAGGGCTGACGTGGACGCCGGCCAACGCTAACGTGGCAATTTTGTAAATATTTTTTTCAATTTTTATTTTTATTTTTTTCCTTCCCTGGCCAATCCGGCGACCGACGATCGGCCAGAGGCTGAGGTTGGCAAGGCGAGGTCGAGCCTCACCGTGGCCGGGCGAGCTCGACCTCTCCCAGCGACGGTGAGGTCGAGCTAGATATGGGCGGCCTCGCCGTCAGTGGGCGAGGCTTGACCTCGCCCAGTGACGGCGAGGGTGGATCTGGCGAGACCTCGCCGTTGCTAGGCGAGGTTGAGCCTTGCCATGGCCGGGCGAGCTCGACCTTGCCCACCTACGGCGAGGGTGGATCTGGGTGGTCTTGCCATTGGTGGGCGAGGTCGAGCCTTGCCATGGCCGGGTGAGCTTGACCTCGCCCACCGACGGCAAGACTGCCCAGATTTGGCGAGACCTCGCCGTCGGTGGGCGAGGTCGAGCTTGCCCGGCCATAGCGAGGCTTGACCTCACTCAGCGATAGCAAGGGCCGACCTCAGCCTCTGGTCGGTTGCCGAACCAATCAGGGAAGAAGATAAGAAAAAAAAAAAGAGAGAAAAAAGTAAAAAAAAATCGAAAAAAATATTTAAAAATTTGTCACGTTTGCATCGGCCGGCATTCACGTCAGCGCCGGCCGGCCGAAAGTAGTCGGATGGACCGAATTGGTATAAATATAAAAGGCTTAAAACTGAATTGGCAAAAAAAATAAATTTATGACTGAATTGGCATAATTATAATAAGTTTATGACTATTTTAGTAATTTTCCCGAAGATGGCTATCATTATGATATATGGGGAGATGAGATCTCAGGGCATGTCCTTTTCTGAAACAATTACTTTATCCTTAGGAAATTAGTTTGGTCATCATTCGCATGCCCTTCATTATTATTACGTTGGAGCACTATTATCTTTTCCTTTTTTTTTATAATACGTATATTCAAACCTTATGGCTCGATTAATCCTTGCGAATACACGTAAATTCGCTCTATCACGTGCATCGAGTACGACTCTACCCATTAGATGGCGGGTACAAACCTAAGATTAGTAAGAACGGGTGATAGGTATAATCCAAATCAAATATTTAATCGCTCGGCCAATAATTCAGATTGTTTTTTTTTTTTAAATCTGGTGTGGACAAAGGAATAGATTGATGATGGGAGTTAGTAGTGCTTGTCAGCTTAGCATTCATTTTCGAGCCGTCCGCGAGCAAAGTAGTTTGGTGATGGATTCTTGGGACATATCTCATCATCACCCACCCCTTCATCCTCCTCTCTCTCTTCCTTTTCTCTTTGGCCCACTGATCTTTAATGAGCTTATCACGCACAAACTTTTCCATTCCTAATATGTTGGTGTACATTGTTGCTTAAGTCGAGTTCGTGACAGACCAATCCCAGCATGCATGTAAGACATGGGTGTGGGACAACGAGTTGAAATTTAGGGAAATGAACAGCAAACTTGGGTTCGTCTCGTCGAGGAGATGTTCGCCAGAAAAGGCCGTGAATCGATGCTTGGGATCATTCTACACGAACTTTCCTTTCGTCCGAGAACGCACAAACTTGTTTTGCACGTAAAGATGTTGGCATGCTTTTGAGCCGTCGTTTTTGTAGTTCCCAAGGATCTTTGTCCAACGCGAAGCATGTTCGCTTAGCTTAATCTACACTCGTCTCTAGTGATTTCAAGCTGTATCTAATGTCACCTTTCCCTCTCTATAATTTTGCTTGATTTGTATAACCATTGTCCTTGATCACATTTTTTTGATATGATTCGTTGTAATGTATTCCTTGATCGAATTTCAAGCATGTTTGCTAGCAGCCTAGCACGGATGGATGATTCAAACATGAGATCGTTTGGACTAGGTAGTATTTCGAGTCGAACTTGTGTCGAGCGTCCTAATCTTACCACAAGCATGTGTCCTGGTTTTTTTTTTATCACTAAGTCAACCCTAATAGATTTGTATGTTGTAATTATCTATATGAAGAGTGGAAATTTGAGAAATCATAGCCTACGTGCTCTAAAATGAGAAAAGATCCGATCAATTATTGCAATAAAAGAATTAATGTGAAGGAGAGTAACAAATGGATTCTCAATTA